GCACCCACACGCACCGAACGCTAGGGCGGGTATCAGCTAGAAGCTAGTAGCTAGTGGTCNTGCGACCTAGCCCAAAACGGCGCCCAAGGCCGTCTTTGTTTGGGTCTCGCCGTCTGGTATCCCAGAGGGACGTGTCGTCGCTTAGATTCTTTACAGTGCGGAGGCTGTGCGGCACCGTGCCGGGTCTACCTAGAGTCGTCTCCTTCTTAAGTACGTTCTAGCACCCAGCTATACTAGCACGCAGTTATACTGCCCTTAGCCTGTTCAAACGGACTTTCTAGCTGTCGCTGAGTGCCATCAACATCAAACGGGGTGTTTACTTATGATGGACGCCGCGTATGCCTTCTTGTAGGCCTTCGGCTTAGTGCTTCTTCGTAGGTCATGGCGCTTCCGCTGGCAGGTGGTACAGTAGTAGTCGGATACCGGTACCGTGGTGGGCCTATGATGCTTTCAAGCATCTCAACGTGCCACGCTCTTTTCGGTGTGGCAGGAAGGTGCTGCGGAATCCCAGGTATAGATCTAATCAATGGGGAGCTTGAGAGGGTATTTGAGTTGACGTCTGTACATACAGGCCCTATAGAAGTATTATACCCTATAGAAGTATTATACCCCGTGGGCTTCGCAAGGGGTTCCATGATCTGACTGCGATATGCGAAGTCATGTTTTGGTGTTTCTTCGACAGCAGGCGCAGTGTCATCACTGTCGTCATTGTCAGAAATGCCACCCCGCGCTTCATCCTCCTCGCTATTGTTCTCGTCGCTATTATTGTCGTCATCCAAATCAAAATCTATCACGCCACCCATCTCAGCAATATCTATTTGATCGTTCGCAGACACTGGCGTTCGGATGAAGTCAGCAGTAGTAAGCTCCTGCACGCCTTCAGCGTCCCTCGTTAGTCTATCCCCATTTCCGTCCATGAAGTGATCTCCTCCATCGAGACACACCAAGTTGACATCAAATAAATTCGCCATCGTACGCCGGGTCTCTGAGATGAGTTGACAACTATTTGATAGCCGGAATCCTGGATTACCGACTACTAGACGAAATCGTCATAAATCGAGCCTGTAAAGCCAAAAGTTAAATGTGGCGTAATGACCATTAGTCCGGAAGAGTAGCCTAAAACACGAGAGTTAAGTGTACTAACCCATTAAATTAGACTAGCACTTCAAGGGGAGACAAATCGATCTGCCGACGCCGATGTCCCTGCGAAATAATCACAGCGCCGTCGCGCTGGATTATTTAATCTACGTCGGCTAGACCCCATTCCACCCCCTGAGGCTGCCCGTTTGCGTCGCCTCGCAATCGTCCGGATGTCGCGTCTTCTCATGTGCCTGACCCGCATGTTTGCGGACCTCAAAGCCGCTGGGATCGTTGCACGTCGCTGCATATTCGAGGAGCACGGAGCCCTCTAAGGTGGAGATCCCATCACCGGCCGCTGAAATACTCGTGCAGGGGGCGGGCCTCTAGTCCTCTGGACGCTAGGGTTTCTTCAAAGTTTGTAAGTGAGTTTGTGTTTCATTCCGGACCAGGGTATCCACATCAAGTTACGACCCGTGAGCCCCGCTAACCAGCCCCAACCATCTCGATGTGACAATACCACCAGGCTCATTCTCGTCGTCACCGCGCGCTCGAAAAAAGCTCCTGCGGACGCGCCTCCCAGGCGCGTCCACAGGAGTCGTCGCCCCTCCGGGGCTCCTAAAATAGACCCTTCACCGCCGTACGTGGTACGGCCGCTACGCGGCCGTGCTTCCCCTGTGCCCCTGGTCATGGCGACAGGCGCTGCGACAGGGTGGAATTCGAGGCGAAGGCGAATGAAGACAGTTCCTGAGCTTGAAAGCTCGTTCAGTCTGTAGTTGAGCCTTTGCAGCGAGACTAGCAGGCTGCTCGGGAATAGATTCGTCTGACTCCAGCCCCAGCGCCAGTTCCGGGCTAGCTGCTACCATCTGGAGCCATTCGCATATTCAAAATGTGCAAGAAGCGCAATTGCGCGTGTGTTGGCCTTGAAGATACTTGCGAGGCTCGACGTCATAGCCTGCGGCCAGCGGGCCTTGCTACGTTCAAAAGGGCGCTTGAGTTGAGCTACACGAAGCAATGTGTGTGCATTTGCGGCACTAACAGCGCCTCTCGCCTCTTGCTTATGTGTCTGCATAGCGTTTTCACGCGCTTTGAACATGGTGTCAAGGACATCTGTAGGTATGCCATAGTGGAAGAGAACTTTCCGCAGTGCGGGGTAGCCAGCTCCAACGAAGAGATCCTCGTAGCGAACGACTAGAAGTCGCGGGTCACTCTGATATAGCAGGATCGCTTCATTATCATTGACCCAACGCGGA